CATAGTCAAAAGTAGATATACATATTAGTGAAACTTCTTCAAGAATTTAGTTGTGTTTCTCATTTAAGACCACATATAGAAAGTAACTAGATATTGGAATTTAAGGATAATGTCTTTGTGTACTACATAATAGGGATTTCGGGATGGATAGGAGTTGGATGCAACTTCATAATAGAAGGTTACATCAATACATTGATGGGGTAAAAGAGTTTATCATGTTAGTATTGTTTCACACTTAAACATTTCAATTAGCTCTCTTGGTAGATAGTGTTGCTTCTGTGAATCATTATCACTTGTTAGTAGATCTTGTGGGATTTGAAAATCTTGGTTTGTTCGTGTTAATTATTTGTAGTTTTTGCTGCTTTGAAGTGTATGAGGGATATTACCTATAGAATTAGCCAGATGAATCGACTAGATTTAGTGCTTCTTGGTTCTCTTTTATATACTTTTCTGCTATTGTAGACCTGCTATATAGAGAGATAAGTTTATAAAATATCAACTTTGAAAGGGTTGATTATGATAATATGCTTGGATTATGATAACCTTATTGTATTGATTCTTATTATAGCTCACTACTACTACAAGTACACTAAGATAATTTGTTTTTTCATTATTTGTAATTTATTTGATTATGAATGACTATTGATTTTTTAATGAGTTTATGTTGTGTTGATTCTTATTATTTGATTCTTCTTTTTGAATTTTGGGTTGCAGGGATGTCCAAAGGGTGTCACACCTAAGTACAACTTGAAGCCTCTTGTGCCAATGCTGTTTGATATAAAACATGACATTGATGTTGAGAAAATGCTTTTTTAGATATTCTCTTTGAAGAAACTGTTGTTATTTTTCATTTGAATGGTTATTACTTTGATTTGAATTTGGAAACTTTCAGTTTTAATTTTTGTAAAATTTTACTTTTTATATACTCATTGTGGTTTGGGAATAAAATGTTTTTGATGTGTGGATGTCAATTTTTTTTAATATGATTGGATGGCATTTAATTTTGTGCATTTTTAGCTATAAAATTAAATGATTACAAAATTCTTAACTTTGATTTTTAGCGACGAAAATGTATTGTAGAGAAAGTTATATCTTTTAGCGACCAAATATCATTGTCGTTAAAAATACCATTATTTTGTTTTTCGCGACCAAATTGGGACATTCTACGACGAAGTATTAGCGACCAAATGTTTAGTCTTGTAAAATTAAATATTTTGTGACAGTATAAACTTGGTCGCTAATTGTCATTTTTAGTGACATTTTCAAAAATTCGTCGCTAAAGACTTTTCTAGACGCACTATTAGTGACTTTTTTAGTGACAAAATTAATTTTGTCAGAAAAATCATTTAGAGACCAATATAGTAGTTTTAGGGACCAAAATGTTTGGTCGCCAAAAGTCTTATTTGTTGTAGTGAGTTTGTAGCAAAGAGGAAACTAAAGCAACTTTCTTAACTAAACTTCAAAACTAATATTGATTAAAGAAGGCAACAAGGGAGCACCACCCATGTACAAAAGAAAAAAAAAAAAAAAAAAAGGCAATAAGTTACCTTGTTCATTTTTATCCATCAGTGCCTTTAGCTTCAACAATTATTCTAAAGCAATAATCACTACATTGATGATAGGGGTTTGATGCATTTCTGCAATCTGGATGCACTCTTCCTTATTCATTCATATTTTATGCCTCTATATTGCTCTTATTGCCTGAAGAAAGCATTCCAAATATGAAAGAACATTTAGATTGTAATTTTAGGTTCCGTAACCAAATATCATACATGCATGCATGTGAACACACAATCAATTGAAGCTCAATCTAAAACTTACTCAAACTAAAACCCACAATCTATATTGATTTTTTTTTTTATCAATCTATCATATTCCGTACTATAAAATGTTCGTTGAAATGTAAGGCAATTTTTAAGGCACACTTATCCCAACTTTAGCATCCTCCAAAACTCCGAAAGAATCCGAGGAATAAAGATTAAGCCTCCGTTTGGGAAGTGAATTGACTTTTTGGTTTTTTGGCTATTTTAGCCTGGGCTTAAAAGCTTGGTTTGGGAAAGACTTTTTGACTTTTTTGAGTTTTTTTGTGAGAGAAGAATGTAATGATTATGGGTTGGATGTGATGTTTTGTTTGTTATAGCTAAAATAGCCTATTTTATTTTTTGTGGCTAAAATAGCCAAAAAAGCCCAAACCATGGCTTTCCAAATGAAGCCTAAATACTCCTCATAACAGTTTTTACTTAGAAAGTCTTTTCATTTGGTCTAGCATTGCCAAGTTTTTGATTTCCAGAATTTCGTGTGATAATGCTTATAAATATCTCAATGTTAGTCTCTCAAGATCAAGGAGGAATGATTTATTTCATCTTTCAAGAAACTAAGTTAAGGTTCAACGGTTCAGCTTTCTAATTAACAAGAATAAAAAAAAAATGATAAAATTGGAATATAATAAAACATAAACCAAGATATTCTTTCGTTCTTTTCTTTTCTTTTCTTTTCCTTGAAAACATGAAGTATGAAAGTTTTGCCTTGGTGAAAAAATCCATAAAACTGGAACTCAAGCCACAATTGTCACTTTATTTCTAAAACAACAAATCACAAGGAAGCAGCAAGAGCTAATTACATGTGACAGCGAATTTCACTGAAAACCCAAAATTGATATGACACAGAATCTGAGACAATATGAACATTATTATTGCAATATATCAAACTATATATTACTACCGTCGATTGATATCAAAATAGATATCAAAATGTATTCATACAAAAAAAAAAGAAGTTACCAAAATTAGAAAACTTTATTCAATTAAAATGTATTGGATATGTATTGAATTAATTGTTGTTTATTGAATATGTTGTTTATAAGTGTGGTTGCATTGTTGTTTATTGAGTCTTCGTTTGTCATTAGCTTTTTTAGTTGGCTTTTTTGTGTTGGGACTTTTTTAACCTTATTTGGTTTGACTTTTTTAGCTTTTTTTACTTTTGTGAGAGAAAAAGTGTAATACTTATAATTTGTATGTGATATTTTGTTTTACTGACTTATATAGCCAATTTTGTCTTTTTGTGATTGTTTAGCCAAAAATCAAATGCCAAACGAAGCTTGAATATGTTGTGTATGAATGTGATTGAGATTGAATTAATTGTTTATTCCATTAAAATCTGATAAACAAGAAAAGTAAAGAAAAATAGGGCAAATTTATTTATTCCACTAAAATCTGATAAAAAAAGAAAATGAAAAAAAAATTAGAAGCCCTATTTTGGGTCATTAACATTTTGTATGTTTATGTAGTGTTTCTCATTCAAGAGCCACCAACATTTTGTATATATTTTAATTTCAATTAAGACAAACCACACTTATAAACAAATATGGGCTCGATAAAATATTTTGGATCCTTTAGATTGGTCCTAAAACAACAAAAATAATTTGAGCCTATTTATATTTGTAATATATTATAATTTTTTTCTAAATTTGGGAGCCTTATTTTGGGGTCAATCTTTTGGAGCTTAAAGCACAGGCCTCAATGGCCTTAGCCCAAGGCCGGTTTTGTACACAATTGATTATGTGACAAATTAAAAATTAACATGAATCACATCACATCATTATGGATCAAATTGTGAAAGTTTTTTGTGGGTTTTATGAGTAATGCTAAAGACTTATACTTTTAGACTTACAAATTCATCTACAATGATAAGACAAAGAGGTTGAACCTTATATCATTGAATGTGTAATAAAATTAAAAATTGACACATATTTTATCATATCATTGTCAAAACTTTTTAAACGTCTCAAAAATTTTCTATCTTGATAACATTATTTAAAATCATGAATCATCATATTTGGGTGGATATCATTCAATGTGACATTTTGGATTATTTAAAATCATGAATCATCATACTCGTGTGGGTGTCATTCAATGTGACATTTTGGTTGTTAGGTGTAGACACATCAGTTACTTGTATTTTTTAACAAAGTATATGTTAGACTGTTTCATGCAATTTTTATTTACAAATTATTAATTAAAAAATATTTATTATTCTGAAAGTTGGGAATGACTATTTTTAACTTTTACACTGATTATCAATTTTTCTACTTACAAAATACTGCACCAAACAAGTCATATAAAGGATTGACAATGATTTTTTTTTTTTTTTGGGTGTTAATTTAAACTAATAATCTAACTCTATTTCCTTTGGCTTCTAGTTTTAAGTTGACTTCCATATGTTGCAAATGGTTTTGTAATCATTCACAAATTTGATTATGTAATCCCAAATTAGAACAACAAATAAGCAACATAAGCATCCCATCAATGTGTGAGTGATGAAAAAAAATGACCAAGAAAATAAGGTAATCATATTACATTGCAAAATAAATAAATTTTAACCCACTCCACAAGCAAGAAGAAAAAGAGTGGGCATAGTTCCATATACAAGAAGGCAAATCATAGTACCCATTCCTTTGGAGGGAGAAGCATAACCTCCACTGGAATAAGGAGTACTTGGCTCTGTTTGTGGAATAGTGGATGTACCATTTGTGGTACTAGCAGTATTTTTTCTCACATGAATGACAAACCTCATTCCCCCAAGACAATGCTCATCTATGTTACAAATAAACCAATACTTCTTTGCTTTTGTGAGATTGACTTGATCATTCCCACTTTCATATCTAGCCCACACTCCAGTGCTTGTATTGCATGATTGATATGTTGGCTCCCTTACTTGGAATACATTGTGTTGCCCCTTTACATATTTGAAAACTACACAGTGAAAAAAGAAAAAAAAGAATTCAATTCATAATTAAATTTTGTAATTGAAATCGTGTACAATCTCAAATATTAGTATTGTTGATGTAATGTGTTGAAGCTAATGATACATAGATTCAGATATGAACATCAAGTATAGATGTTTGTCTCAAATCTTCTTAAACTTAAATCTTAGAATAAACAATGTATATGTTACATGCTGGGGGTGTTTGGGAAGAAAAAAAATAGCCCAATTTAGGCTAAAATTCACAAAAAGACAAAAGAGGCTAAAATAGTTAATAAGACAAAATATCACATCAAACCCATAATCATTTCACTTTTTCTCTCACAAACATCACATCCAACCACAAAAAAATCTAATCATCTTCCCAAACACAAAAATTTTAACCTACTAAAGTAGTCAAAAACTAAAATAGCCTACTAAAATAGCCACTTCCCAAATGAGGCCGCTATATAAATTTCTTGAATAAGATATTGTGAATTAGTTTTTTTAAACAAAAAAAAAAAAACCTTATGTGAGAAAATAAAAATATTTTTTTGCTAGCATAAAGTAATCGTTTTCTTTTTCATCATAGAAAGCTAGAAAGTTGAAATATATAGAGTTGTCAGACACATATTTCATAGATTTACGCTTGTAATATCCGGTGAACAGGATATACAGACAGAAATAGAAGAATTCATATAATTCAGGCTGAAACAAACAATTCTTGGAGAATTTCTTTGCATTGTTACCTAACAGTTCACTTAACTCCAGTTTTGTTTATGGTATGTTTTGTGCTATTTAGAGTTGAATTATGTCCAACACAACAATCTAAGATGAGCCTTTTTTAGTATTCCAATCAAAACACTTGAAATAACCATAAAGCTCAAAATGGTTCTTTCTGCAATTGGCTATCTATAATATGTAAAAATAGATATAAAAATCACTGCAAAAACCATAACAGTGACATACAAAAACTCCAAAAGTTTAAAAAAGAAAATAAAAGAAACAAATATGAGATGAGATTAAGGAAAGAATTAATTCAGACCGAGGACGTCTCCAACAGTGAAATTGTATTTCTGTGACCATGAAAGATAGCTAATTCCAGTGCTCCACTGGTCTGCATCACCCACTGTATAAACTTCTGATTTGGCAGTACTGTTCAAGAACATAATACAAGTTAAGAAGATGATCTTTAAACCACAACATTTGGGAAGCTTGCTGATCTCTTCCATGGCTTCTTCAAAATGCAAATCTTCCAAAGTTTTAGGGACAGTTTGATATTATAAGAGGATTACTAGTTTACGTCATATATATATATATATATATGATGTCCAATAATCCCAGGGGTAGAGTGGACTATCACTACACTCTATCACATATTATCATCTCCTCGAGGCTCAAAGTCTGTCTGAGTCTTTGTTCATCTCCTATAGCCCTTTCCAAGTAATTAAAACTTGAGAACCACTTGCAATTCTTTTGTAACTTGGACCATTTTTTCCCCATGATTTGGTGGTGGTTGGTGAGAGTGTTTTTTTATGATTTAGACGTTGTCAATGATTATAAATATAAGAAAAATATTAAGAGTTCTAATAGGTTCTGATGAAGGTAGGTTCCATTATGATATGATATTTTGATTTTATATATATATATTTTTATTTCTTATCCTATCATTAAAATTTAATTAGAATTCCATAATTAAAAAATATATCATTGCTTTAATGATAAATAGAATGCAAGTTTGTATTATTTGGCCATAAGCTCTCAACTTGTCCAATCAATGTAGCAAGTGGCAACCATTGACTTTTTTTCCCCTTCAACTTGATCAGTGACTAAGAGTATCTCTAATGCACTAGGCATATAATACTTGTTAGTTAAAATGCCTAGTGTGATTCACTTTTTTCAATTCCAACGCATTAGGCATATGATTTAGGCATTTTGGCTCAACTCATATTCACTAGCTACATGTAGCTAGCCTTCAACGCTAGGCAAAATGTATTCAATCATTAGGATCATTTCCCTCCATCTTTGTTGTTGACGTGACATTCTATAAAATTAATAGTATTTAGATTAATAGCTAAAATAAAGAGTATGATTGGAGTAAAAACAAAAAACAGTTGATAGGCAAAATAAAATATATACTTTATAGTAATATTTAGATAGGTAAAATGCCTACTACTGTTGGAGATGCTCTAATAGGGTGGTGGGAAGGGTCCATTTTGTTGTGGCTCATGCCTCTCTACGTGCTACAAAGCAACCAAGGAACAAAAGCTTATCGGGGAAAGTGAGTTAAAAATCACTTATTAATTTTAATTCACTTCATTTTCTTAAAAAAATTAAAAACAAGTCAAAAAAATTTCTCATCATCTTCTCAAAATACTTCAAAATTTAATATTGATGGGATGATCATGACACTTATTTGGACTATGACTGATGAGTCGTTTTTTACACCAAAAATATTTTTTTATTAAAATATTAATTTAATAGAATAGTGGTTTAGTTCGGGTATAGATCTGCAGGGATTAAAAGATTAAATTATTTAAATATTAAAAAATTAATTCTTAATTAATTCGAATTAGATGAATATTTCGATTTTAATATAAAATTAATTAAAAACAATTATTAAATAAAAAGAAAGATTGAAATGAAATTGAAGTAAAAAATAATTTCGAGTTTTGAATTCACATCTAATCTCATAACAAGTAATTAATATATTAAATTTTAATAAATCAATAATTCTGATAATATTGATGTATCGTGACTACAAGTCCCGATATCATCATCAGAAGGATGAGTAATTGGGCTCATGTTTAGAAAATAGAATTTTTTATTTTTTGTGTCTTTATTTTTAGTCAAAAATTTTAATATTTTAAGAATTTTTTATTTTTTAGATGTATATAACCTAAATGTATGTAAAAATTCATCAAATACAAAAAAGTATAAAAATTCAATATATTTTTGTATTCTTATGTATTTATTGAATTTTTAAAATATTTTTTCACAAATATTTTATTTTTTAGATGCATTTCAGTTTTGTGCATCTAGAAAGTAAAAATCTTATTTAAAATATTAAAAAAATTCACTAAAAATAAATTTAAAAAATCACAAAAAAAAAATCAATTTTAAAAAAAATCAATCAAAATCAATGCTTTTTGTAATGCTTGTTTTAAGATTTTACCCATCTAAAAAACAGTCAATAAGTCTATGGTGATTGTATGGAAAAAAATTAATTTGTGTAGTGTAGGGTTCATGTACAGAATAAATCTAAATCACGAGATGAAAATTCTAGATAATTTCTGAATTGATAATGGTGAGATTGTAGTATTACTCAAAAAAAAAAAAAATTAATAATTGATATTGGTTTTCTATTTGTACCGTTGAGCTAAAAATAAATTAAATTAAATTAAGGTCAAGTTTGGCATGTCTCCAACAAGTCAAAAAATCAAAAAATTACTCAAAAAGTTTAAAGATTATCACTATTTACCAAAAAAAAATATTAAAAAATTAATTTTCCTCCACTTTGTTATCACTATTTACCAAAAAAAAATATTAAAAAATTAATTTTCCTCCACTTTGTACAACTCAAAATCTGATATGTTCAGCTGCATTGATGCGTTTGTTAAGAAAATTGCACAGTTTGGGTGTAATTTTTACACATTGTTGTTCGGCCTATGGGGGCTCATCACGGGTCCCGTTTTGATAATCTGAATCGTTCAATGTGTAGAACTCGTCGAGTACTATATATTTGTAAAAAATCACATTGATCGGATGTCGATAACTACATGATCAAAACAGTTTTGTATAAAAAAAATGAAAGGAGTTATAATTAACGATTGGAAAAAACAAATCTGATCAGATAGCTATCGATATCCGATCAACGTGATTTTCCATAGACATATAGTGCTCAACGAGTTCTACACATTTAACGGTTCAGATCATCAAAATAGGACCCGTGATGGTCCCCACGGGCCAAACAAAACTGTCCAGTGCAATGCCCGAAAAGTAGCTAATCACTTTTTTAGCATCAATTCAAAGTTTGGCTGCACAACTCCCCATCCTAATTTTCCACTACACACTAATTTATACAATTTTTTAATAATATTTTTTCATAAAAAGTTAAAAAGTTAACTCAAAAATCATATTTTATTCCTCAACTTTTTAGTCTAAAAAGTTAAAAAGTGCACTTATTTAGGACACCCCAAACAACCCTTAATAAAGAAAGAAAATGGGAACTTAGGGCAGGCCACATACTCGAGACCCGGACATATATATATATATATTATCATGGCCCATCGCAACCCAACCCAACCCAACCCAAAAAAGGACCAACAGCCCATCACTAAAGCCCATAACACAGAGGCAAATAGTTCGAGCAACACGAATACCAAACGACACCGTTTTATATATCTCCTACAAAACTCATCTGGAATAGAATTACAAAACCCTAGAAAGAACCTACCCCTCCTCTTCTTCCTCTTCTCCGGTGATGATGGCGAGCGTTGGTGGTCGATTCAGAGAGCTCTTGAAGAAGTACGGCAAGGTTGCAGTGGGAGTACACTTCTCAGTCTCCGCCGCCTCAATCTCAGGCCTCTACATCGCCATCAAGAGCAACGTCGACGTCGAGTCCATGCTCGAGAAAGTCGGTTTCCCAGCCGCCAAACAAGAAGAAGAAGAAGAAGAAGAAGAAAAAACTAAACTTCCCCAATCGAATCCCGATGGATTCATCTTCGAAGAAATGGAGTCGACGGTGACGATGATGGAGATGAAGAAGAACAAGAATAGGAATCGGACGGCTGAGTTGGCTACTTCGAGCGGCGGAGCACTTGCTCTCGCCGTTCTCTGTAACAAGGCTCTTTTCCCTATTAGGGTTCCGATCACCATCGCCCTTACGCCACCTGTCGCGAGGTTCTTGGCCAGGCGGCAAATCAAGAACAGTGTATGATCTCTCTCCTTTTCATAAATTTTTTATTTTGATAGTGTTTTCTTTTATTGAATTGGGAAAAAAGAATGAGAGAGAGAGAGATATGAAATGTGGAAGTTGTTAACTTTATTTATGGTGAGTTGAAATTTGCTCAATGTTATGTGAATTTAAATGGATATTGTTTCTATGTATTGTGTAACAGTCATAAATTGAATGAAATTCTTGGCTTTTCTCAGCTGTTGTTTTCATGAAGTAGCAAAATCCACTTTTACTATGGGTATTCATATGGGCATTTCATTTTTTTTTTGTTGATGAGTTCCATATGGGTATTCATATGCAAACATTATTAACAAATAGTAATTGTAACGAGAAATTGAAAACTCATATTTTTATTGAATATCTTGCTTCTAACCCATCTGGAATTGAGGAACAACATACATGGCTTTTTGCTTGCCCTGAATTAGTTTGGACAATACACTATGGAGAAGACATGGGAACTTTATAAATATTAGAGCAATTTATAAGGTTCAGGCTTTCAAATTGGAAATTAAAAATTGGTGAAACACAGGCTCTCTTACATTTTGTAGTTTGCAGGTATTTTGTAACTATGGGAATAAATGTAAGAATTTCATGATCTGATCGATAATGAATAATTTCATATTTTTATGTGACATACAAAAAAGGCTATCTGTAGCATATATCATACTTCTTGGTATATGCTTGTGTAAACTTTAGGTTGGGGTTGCCAAAATACAAAAGGGGAAACTAGTCCCAAATACACATTCCTCTCAATTTTTTGTTTCTTTTCAGTAAGAAGTCCTTAAGCAAATTTAGATTTTGATTATCTGCTCAGTCCACTTCATTCAGGAAATGAAGATGAATAAAAAGAGCAAAAGTCAAAGTACATTACTACTAGAATGAGCAATATGAGTGAGGAAAGAGAAGAAAATAGATAAGATGAAACAAAGTGATGAGTTAAGAGTGCGACGCAGCGGAATAAATCACACGAGACTAGATATTATTCTAGTAGACGAGAATTTTTGAATCCACAAGAGCACCCTTGAATCCACAAAGAAGATAAAAGAAAAACTCTTTAAAATACTATTAATTGAATGAATGAATTGTATATGTTTGTAGGCTTATTTATAATAAACTAAGCCTAATACTTGTAGGAAAAGTAATTCTAAAATAAATTTGGAAACTTAGATCAACACAAATTAAGAAACCTAAGAGAATAGGAAATCAGGAAACTTGAATCAACACAAATTAGAAAAACCTAAAAGACTAAAATTCTAAACTATTTAAAATCCTAGTCAAAATCTAATTCTAAAATAATAAAATTATAGAATTTTGTTCTTCATTTTTCTTGCCTTTTGTTGGTCCAATTGTTCCAAGAAGTCTTCGGCTACTTATTCTACATCAGTCTCTTCTTCTTAGAGAGAACTAGACCTTGAGTTCGATTCTAGATAGAGGGGTTCTTCAACATAATACTCATATAAATCAGCTACATTAAAAGTCTTGGAAATCTTCATGTCGCCTAGTCACTCAATCACATAAGCATTCTCATTGATTTTCTTCAACACCCTATATGGACCATACTTGCGAGGCTTCAATTTGTTGTATGTGTCGACTAGAAATTTGTCTTTACGCTAAAACACCATTACTAAATCTCCTTCCTTGAACAATTTGGAGCGCCGATGGTTGTCTGCGACTGCCTTATATTTGGTATTTGTTTCCTCCAACTTCTGTCATACTTCTTCTTGTACTGCTTGGGCTTGTTTGGCCATGGTTTCGGTGGCAGTACTCACTCTTGGACCTCGAGGCAAACAGAGCAAATCAACTGCATGTTTTGGAGGCGTGACATACACTAGAGAGAATGGTGACTTTCTTGTGGCATTGTGAACTGCGCTATTATATGCAAATTCTACTTGAGGCAAAGCAAGATCTCACTGTTTTGGTTTGTCTCCACAAATGTTGCGAATCAAATTGCCTAAAGTCCTATTAGTCACCTCTGTTTAACCATCTGTTTGAGGATGCGCGGTTGAACTACGATTCAAGGCTGTGTTAAATATCTTTCATAAAGTCACCCAGAAGTGGCTAAGGAACTTGAGACATCACGATCTGAGGTAATGGATTGAGGGACTCCATGCAAACGAACTACTTCTTGAAAGAATAATCGAGCCACATGAGAGGCTTTTGAAGTCTTTCGACAAGGAATAAATTGCGCCATCTTTGAAAACCTGTCAACTGTTACGAACACAGAATCAACTCCACGTTGGGTACGAGGGAGTCCCAACACAAAGTCCATCGACAAGTCTTCCCAAATGTTGTTAGGAACAGGTAGAGGCATATAGAGGCCAGTATTCTGAGATTGCCCTTTGGATACCTGACAAATGTAGCACTTCCTCACAAAATTGCCAATATCTCGCTTCAACTGAGGCCAGAAATATCGTTCTTCCATACTTGCGATAGTCTTGTCCCTGCCCAAATGTCCACTTAAGCCACTACCATAGAGATCCCGAATTAGTTTCTCTCACAAAGAGGTACGGGGAATGCATAAGCGATTTCTTCGAAATAGATAGGCATCAGTGATGTGGAAATCAGTGACTGGTTGCCTTTGAATACACTTTGCCCATATCTCCTTGAAGCCATCATCATCAGGATAAAGTTCTTTTAGGAACTCAAACTCCACAATCTCATGTGTCAACGTGACTAATAAACTAGCCCGTCGACTCAAGGCATCCGCAACTCGATTCAAAACCCCTGATTTGTGGCGAATAGTAAAAGGAAATTTCCGAAGGAAAGTAGACCATCTTACATGCATGTTATCCAGGTGCTTCTGGCTGTTGATAAACTTTAAGGCTTGATGATCAGTATACAACACAAACTCTCTCTGTATCAGGTAATGTTCCCAATGCTTCAAAGCTCGAACCACTGCATAAAATTCTTGGTCATTAGTGCTCCACTTTTGCCGAGCTTCACTTAATTTTTCGCTGAAAAAGGCCACTGGTTTATGTTCTTGAGATAGGACAGCCCTAATGTCCACACCATTAACATCACGCTCTACCTAAAAAATCTTCTCAAAACTGGGCAAAGCTAGCACTGGTACAATTGCACAACTTCTCTTTGATCAACAAGAAGCTCTTTTCTGCATCATCACCCCACAAGAATTTTCCTTTCTTCATGCACTCTGTTATTGGTGCCATAATAGTGCTGAAACTTCAAATGAAACGCCTATAAAACGTAGCCAACCCATGGAAACTGTTAAAATTTATCACCTACTTCACCCACTTAAACCTACTCCACTAAACCTCACCCACTACACCCACTTAAACCTACTCCACTAAACCTAACCCACTACACCACTACCACCTCACCTACTCCACTAAACCTAACCCACTACACCACTACCACCTCCACTTCACCTATTCCTTACCTACTACACACTCACCTTCTTCTATATATAGGAATCATGAATCATTGTAATAGAAATCAACAAACAATCAATCAATCAATAATACAATTCTCTATTTCTCTTTATACATTAAATTTCTTCAGAAACTCTGAACATCACTAACAGTCTTGGGAGTTGGCCACTCTTGGATGGCTCGAACCTTCTCTTGATCCATATGAATGCCATCTGAACTAACCACATAACCCAAGAACAACAAGTTACTTGTGAGGAAACTGCACTTCTAAAGGTTAACGTACAACTTGCTTACCTCCAGTGCTGTCAACACCTCCCGTAAATGGGCCATGTAGTCCTCCTCTGATTTACTGTAGATTAAGATGTCATCAAAATAAATCACGACAAATTTCCCAGTGAAAAGTCGTAATACCTGATGCATAACTCGCATAAAGGTGCTGGAAGCATTAGAAAGGTCAAATGGCATAACCAACCATTCATACAAACCATCCTTAGTCTTGAATGTTGTTTGCCATTCATCCCCGAGACGGATTCGAATTTGATGGTACCCACTTCGCAGATTGATCTTTGAAAACCACTGATTCCAGCATGTCCAACATATCATCTAGTCGGGGAATGAGAAATCTATACTTGATGGTAATCTTGTTAATGGCTCGGCTGCCTATACACATTCGCCAACTTCCATCTTTCTTTGGCGTTAATAATGCTGGAATAGCACATGGATTTAGGCTTTCACGAATATGTCCCTTTCGCAGTAATTCTTTGACTTTCTCTCGCCGGATCTCACTCTCTTTTGGACTCATTCTATAGTGTGATAGGTTTGGCAAACTTGCTTCTGGTATGAAATTAATCTGATGTTGAATGTCCCTTATGGGTGGAAGTTCATCTGGCAACTTGTCAGCAGTAAGCTCTTGGAATTCCTCCAACAATGGTTGAATTTTCTGAGGGATTGGTGTAACTGTGTTCTCCTTGGCCGCAGGTACCATTGTTTTCACAACCATAGCATTTAACTCTTGTGAAGTTTTCGCATCTGCCACAAACTCTGAATTGGTTATAGTGAGGAAAGACCTTGCTTCGACTTTCGGAGGCACTATGTGTTGCTTTAAGGGACTCATAGCAATTTTATGAGACCCCCAATTGAACAACAAGTGTTGTCTCGCCCTCTAAATGTAATATCCACATCAAATTGCCAAGGTCTTCCAAGTAGTACATGACTAGCATCCATATCAACCATATCACATAATACATCAGATTTATAATGTTTGCCAATAGAAATAGGTACCTTACATACTTCAGTTATCTTGACAGCAAGTCCTTTTTTGATCCAGCCAATACTGTAGGGAGAGGGGTGTGGTTCAGAAGACAACTTCAGGTGCACTACCAATCGTCTAGCCACAAAATTTTCATAACTTCCACTGTCCACAATAAGGTCACACAACTTTTGATTTATTGTACAACAAGAGCGAAAAATACTGTGACGTTGACTGAGGTCCTCAGTTTTTGGTGTAAATAAAACCCTTTGAACTACACAGTTGACTCGTTCTCCTTCTTCTCTGGCGAGTTCAGCACCTTCATATTGATCACCCTTATATTTTGCATCTTCATCATTCCCAATTTCATCTTTTTCTTCAACTAAATTAACAGTCCTTCTTTCTGGGCACACATTAGAGCGATGGCCAGGCTTGCCACATCTATAACACTTACTCGTTGCTGGTTTGGCATAAGGATTTGTGTTTCGAGGTGCCTCTCTGCTACTTGATCCAGTCATCTGGTTTCCTTCTCCACCAGCGGTACTCCTCTGCTGATTCACTGGAACTGTTGGTTGGGCAGCCCCTTTTCCTTTTTCCTTAGTAGGAAACGACGAATCAGGAAGGTTCTGACGATATCTAGAACAGGTTGTCTTGTGCTCCATTAGCTCGGCTTTGAGAGCCATATTATGTGTTTCATCCACAGTCCACACTACTGATAACCCATTGAGATACCGGGCTACACGCTGTCCTTCAGTCTCATTCAGATTATTGCGATCTAAAAGTCGGCAAAATTCAGTTGTATAATCAAATACAGATTGGCTTCCTTGGGTGCAATTTTGGTACAACTGAAACAAGTATTGATCATAATCTGATGGTAAAAATCTATCTTGGAGAAGTTGTTTCATTCAACGCCAAGTCCTTACAGATTCTTTCCTTTGTCGATGCCTATTTTTCTACAATTGATCCCACCATACCGCAGCACCTCCTTTTAGTTTGTATGCCACCAATTTCACCATCTTTGATTCTGGAACATCCATCATCCCAAAAAATCTCTCCACCTCTGAAAGCCAGTCAAGAAAATCCTCAATATGCAGATTTCCATTGAATTGGGGAAGATGTATCCTCATTCGGTACTTATCGAACCCTTCTTGTTGTTGCCTTTTGGGTTGATAGTTGGCTGAAAGTGGTTCAAACTTTGGTTTAGACTCCTCATTACTATCAGATGGACAACGAAGGGGACGTCTAGGAGCATTCTGAACATGTTGACCTTGGGCGAATCGTTTGGTGCGCACTCTGTTCTGGTTAACAGGTTGGCCTTGGGCAACTCCCTCAACACAGACCCTATCAACCACTGGTGGCCTGTTGTTGGCATTGAGATTTATGCCAATAAGCAGATTACGAATTTCGTTCAATTGCTCTTGTTGTCTCTCATATGCTACCCGACAGGGCCTCGACTCCATGATCACCACCAGTAGGGTTTGTATGATCTACTCCGTCTTGTGCCATTGAGCCAGGTGACTCCTTACTCTGATACCACTTGACGCAACGGAATAAATCACATGAGACTAGATATCGTTCTAGTGGACGACAATTCTTGAATCTATAAGAACACCCTTGAATCTACAAGGAAGATAAAAGAAAAACTCTTTAAAATACTATTAATTGAATGAATGAATTACATATGTTTGTAGGCTTATTTATAATAAACTAAACCTAATACTTGTAGGAAAAGTGATTCTAAAATAAATTAGGAAACTTAAATCAACACAAATTAAGAAACCTAAGAGAATAGGAAATTAGGAAACTTAAATCAACACAAATTAGAAAACCTAAGAGACTAAAATTCTAAACTATTTAAAATCCTAGTCAAAATCTAATTCTAAAATTATAAAATTAAGAAATATAAAAATTATTGAATTTTGTTTTACATCTTTCTTGCCTTTTGTCGGTCCAATTGTTCCGAGAAGTCTTCGGCTACTTGTTCTACATCTGAGTGTTTTGGTGAAATGAATATATCCCTGAGGAAATTTAGGTTTTATGTTGAAGGCACTTCAATTGAAGATTGAATAGAAACTAACTCAGGAGTAAAGAAGGAAACATCAACAGGAAGAAAGTGTATCCCTATTAAGAACGTAAGGGGAGTAACCTTAAGACTCATTCTTTACAGTATTTGATTTTCAGCTTGCTCTAGAGAGAGAGACTCTTTCCATTTTCTTTTTGATCTTCATTTCTCATCATATTTGTAGTTCTATTAATATGCCAAATATACGTACTTGTTACTAAGACCTCAAGTCCTGTGTTAAGTCTCTAAAATAAGGAAATGTGCCAAATTTTAATTAAAAGACTATCACTACTTACTATAGGTTGAAGTATTAATCATATTCATCTAGCTTCATGTCAAATGAGCCTTCATATTTGATCTTATGTTAGTTTTTTGTTGGTTGATCTTATGGTTAAAAGGACAGTGCAAATGATGGATATGCATTAAATCATGATTTGTATATTTGATTTTTGCCACTAATGCTGGAGGATTGTTTTGTTGTTTTGTATCATCATAACCTGTATGAAACTGCTACTTAGCAAATACTGGTTTGCATTTCATTCGGCTATAGTTTTCTTTTTCTTTGCTATTGACTTCAATCTTGTTTTGATATCAAGTTAATGGTTCATCTGGCACCATTTCTTGGGCATCCTTTCTTTTCTTTCTGATAGTGGTTTCTTCTTGTTGATATACTTCACAAAAGTTCACCTCTTTCATTCCTCTCACTTTCTTTGGTTTCTATGCTATTGTCTTCCATTGTATGGTTATATTAATCAACTGGGTTTTGGGGTTTGAGTCATCTCACAAGTGAAAAAGGGTAAATTACACTGACACTTTTATGAGATTTCAGTTTAATATAGATCTCTCTTGCGTTTGAAAAATTACACTTATCTCTATTAAATTAAAATAACATATTTGACCTTTAGCCTTTATACTTGTAAAATAATATTAATATTTTAATATTTTATTCATGTCATTTTAAGAGAAATGACAATCATCTTCTTTGGTTTAACTCACAAAAAAATGAAAATAAAAATTGTGTTTTTTTTACGGAATTTTTTTTAATATTTTAATCAATTCTTTTATTGTTTAGATACACTTAAACTAGATATATTTAAGAAGTATAATATTTTGTGAATTTTTTTTTTTAAAATTCACCAATTACAAAAATACAAAAATTCAATAATGCTGTAATAAATGTGAATAACGGTGTTTGATAATACTGTAATAAATGTGGGTGAATAGACGAGAAAAAAAATGGTGGAAATAAAATAAAATAAAAAATTCTATTCATATATAAAAATTTATACAAAAAATATCAGAAAAATGTTGTGATAGCGATGTTGTTGGAAATATAAATTATGTTTATAGGTATTTTGTTGTAAAGTGAAAGGTCGTCATTAAGCTATATCATTGTGCTTAAAAATTTTATATAAAATTTATGTGTGTATATCATCACTCAATAAGAATATGTTTAGGTAGAATTTAACGATGAAAAGTTATAAAATATAGTCATGATGATATGAAGAAGAAATAGTACTGTAGGAAAAATGATAAAATGATCATTTAAAAAATTTTAAGATATGACATTAGTAATTTAGAATATAATTTGTAATGAAATTACACACCTTTAGGAGGGAAATATAGGCCTTGTTTGGTTTGTTTTTCAGAAAAAATTTTGAGAAAAATTCTCTACAAACAAATTTTCAAGAGTAATCAAACTCGCTAAAGGCTATTATTTGCGACAGTAGAAGTTACCGTCGCAAAAAACGGTTTTTTGCGACGGGGGGCGCGGCGTCGCTAAAAACCCGTCGTTTTTGCTATATTTTCCTGTAGTGTCTCCTCAAAATAATTTTCCAAAATTATTTCTCAAAAAAGGTAAACCAAACAAATTTTCGTACTTTTTATCTTAAAAATTACTCTACAAATACGAATGAAAGTGAAAAACAAGCAAGTTTAACTTGACATTACACTCTTAGTTTTCTGTATTCGCTTCCCATTTTATGTCAGTATAGAAAATATATTTACATGGAAAAACTGAGCTCCTCAACTATATCACGAGTTTTGTTTTGAACTGAAATTTTGCTCCAAACACTCTTTCTTTCGTGATGTTTTGCAAATGATAAAACCATTGAAAAAAGATTGGAGCCATCACCAGAAATGTAACTCAAGATGTATGCTCAATTAATGTACTATACTACACTATAAAAGTGTTATCTTAGTTGCCTAATAAATGGGGTCACATTCCATTGGAAAATTGATGCGTTTGTTTCAATTTCTTGTAAACAAAATTTGATGGTTCTTTGTAGCGGCTGTAAAACAACTTGAGTTCGACTTTTGTCCGGTTAGTTAAAAGATGTTCGAAATTGATTTGTTGTTGTGTAGGTAAATAAATCAAGTTTTAATCGAGATTAGCTCGTTATGTATATAAATAAATTAAGTTTTAATCGAGATTGGCTCTTTATTTATGTAAATAAATTAAGGTTAAACACATTTTAAAACTCATTTTGTTTGGTTGCATCATCAAAATTATATTTTGAAAAATAGAGATTGAGACAATGAAAATTAAAGTTCCGTTTGGTAAGCTTCTCAAGTTATAGTTCCACCCATTGATTTGAGTGTGGTGTTTGTTTTAAGCTTTCAAATCATAATTCTATACCCATTTCTCAAAACTCAATTCAAAACATAATTATTACTTTTCAAAACTCATAACCAAACACATAATTCAAAACTCATTACAAAACTCAATTCAAATCAATATTTTAAATCTTTAAATATTTTAAAAATATTTTAATTTTGTTAAGATTTTAAATATTTTAATATT